TTTTTTTTTTTTTAAAAAAAAAAGAAGAGGAAGAAAATGACATTGATGCATGCAATTACACAAGCTTAAAGTTAGATTTCATGACAAGACCCGGGCATTTAACCGTGAAACGGTCATGTGAAAAGAGCAATGTTTTACTCAGTTGTGGTGCATGTAAATCTTGCATGCTGGCTCCTTGAACTTTGTAAACGTTCAGATATACATACATTAGTGGTAGGTAGCCGTGCAAACGAGCGGAGATGAGCTCGAACCCTTACAAGCTGAGCATAGCTCGGCATGTTAACTTACCGAGAGCTTAAGTTTGGCTCGTTTAGAAATATTAACGAGTCAAGTTCGAGTCTTAACGAGCTAAAATCGAGCTGAGTTATAGAAAAATATAAAAAAAAATATCTTTCGAGCCGAACTGAGTTTGGCTCGTTAACTGCACGAGCATTAAATGAGTTCGAGCTCGAATCATTTATCAAATGAGTCGAACCCTTAAGCGGAGTCGAGCTCACGAGTGACTCGCTTAATTTAATAGCTTCAGTGGTAAGTAGACTTAGATTTACATTTACATGTTATTAAATACATTATTTGATATGGGATAATAAAACATTTTATCATATTAATTGATTTAAAAAAATATATTTGGTAGAATTCGTATCAACAAGTTCATCGTCTTTTAGACATCATGTTTCACAAAAATTCTGAAGTTCAAAGTATTTTCTTTGGAGTAGTATAGAATAAATAATACAAAAATCTCATAACTATTAAGATAGAGGTGGCAATCAAGCGGGCTGATTCACGGACCAGCCGGCTCGGCAAGTTGCCGGCCTCAAAAGCTGGATTTGGAACCGGCCCGACTACATCTAAGGACCGGTTCATTGAACCAGCCCTATAGTTCATTGAACCGTCGGTTTTTTTAATTAAAACAATTCGGACTTGTCTTTCGGTCTGGAACCGATAGGTCTAAAAAAGAACTAAGACCGAAACCGGCCCGGTTCCGAAACCTTAAGTCCCGGCCGATTCAGCCAAGTAGTAGCTGTCCCACATCATTTAAAATTGATCAAAATAAGAATTTTACGTTGAAACGAAATTGAATACTACATATTTTATATCAAAATCCCGCCCTTATTACAAACCTAGCTCTATCAGTTTGGGCGACGAAGGGAGTTGCTTCAGTAAGCTGGTAAAGTAATCAATTTCAATCGGAGGAAACTAGGGTTTCTTTTCAGTTTTATTTTCAATTTTATTAGTAATCGAATTCACCGTCTGGTTTACTCTTTCTTGCGGGATTCAGTTGTTCTCCACGCTTGTAATGGAGATAAAATCAAGACGATCGAGCACAAAACCCAGCCGGAGGATTTCCGGCGGCAGACAAGAGACTATGGCCGTTCCCATGGACAGAATCAGCGCCTTGCCGGATGACGTCATCTGCCACATCCTCTCGTTCCTCTCAACTCGGAGGTGCGTGCAGACCAGCATTTTGGCAAGAAGGTGGCGGTCCCTTTGGGCTCATTCCCCCATTTTGGATTTCGACTTTACCGGAGAATTGTTGGACTATTGGAACAACATGGTAGAAATCATCAACACGGTTATGTTCCTTCACAAAGGGCAAAACATAAGTACTTTTCGCTTAGCTAATGAGGACATCTGTGGCCTCTCTCAGGATGAAATAGATGCTTGGATTGTCACTCTCATTTCGTCTCTCATTTCGTGCAATGTCCGTAATCTTTATATTTGGTTAGATGTTAAAATGCCTCTCTGTCTGTTTTCGTGCGGAACCCTTGTTGATTTGAGTCTTTCTTGTTGTTGCTGTGACTTCCCTTTGACCACCACTGTATATTTGCCTTCCCTGAAAAGGCTTCAACTTGACTCAGTTGAGTTTGAATGTGATGAATGCTTTACGCGCCTGGTTTCTGGTTGCCGGGTGCTTGAGGAGTTGAGTTTGCTGTCGGACACTGTGCTAAGCTGTTTTGTTTCTTCACCTTCTCTAATTAGGCTCAAACTCAGTACAGATTGTGATATAGATAGTGAAACGGTCTTGAGGGTGAAGATAGATACTCCGGCACTCAGATTTCTTGAATTACGTGATATTAGATCTGAGGAAATCTCAGCCGAGGGGTTTGCATCCTTAGTTGAGGCAAATATATACATGAATCTCGTTGAGCCGATTGAAGATGTTGTTTCTTATTCTCATTCTGTGATGGGATTAGTCAATAAGCTGTGTAATGTGACGTGCCTGAATTTATCAACTCGAACGATGGAGGTATCTTGCTGTTTGAACACCAATTGTCTTTGCACTTTTGTTCTTTTGCTGAAAGCTCCACTTCAGTTTTTGTGATTTTACATCACTGGTGTCGGGTGCAATTTTGTTTTGCAGGTTCCTGATTCTGCATTTCGTGCATTGGTTGTAAAATTCCCAAATTTAACCAAACTAGATTTTTCAGCAGACGTCCGTTTTATCCCATTTCTCCTTGAAAATGCTGACAATCTCGAAACCATCACATTCGGTTCGGTATGCGTTTTGGACTTCCTTTTATTTTTACTCAATGATTCTTCTTTTCTAATATGTTCATTTTGGCTCTTTCCTTTTTTTTTTTTTT